TTAAATTAATATTTTGTTTACATTTAATGCTTAAAATAAGTGATTAATTGTCTGTTTTAACTAAAATCTTACATTTGTTTTGCTAACACTTTCTGTGGATTCTTTGGGTTTTACACTAATTATTAAAATAATACTAAAGACGCGACTAATGTTTTCGGTGAGCATTTAATTTTGGGTTTTTATGATTGCATTTTATAACTAATTGTAATTTTTTATCAATTATTTTTAATTATTTATTAATTTTTATGAATTGATTGTGAATTGACAGCCAATGCAGACCTTTATATAAAAATTACTTCCGAGGGAAAGAAATATTTGTTTCAACTCTCATATCAAACCCAAACAAATACATTCATTGTTGAGATTAATAAAGCCATCGAATGTAAGCTCTTGTGAATCTATTGACACACATATTATATATTTAGTAACTGTTTATACATTTTATTTATTTATAGTATATCTAAAGAAGTCGACTCCAGTCTCGTTTGATTGGCTCAGGGATTACACCAATTCTATACAAAATGATGGATTAAATCCAATCGATAACAATAGCAAAGAATTTTGTAAATTTGAAGACAATTTTGCCGATATGTTAGCATTCAATGAGAAAAATCGCGACAATAGTAGCGAGAAATTAAGCAAAAAGCCGTCGAATCCATTTATGGACTCGAATACTAATGATTTAATAGATATTAATGAACAGCACTTCGATCAACAAAACATGAATTCAGTACTCAATACAAAGACCAATAATGTGGGCAACAGTAGCTTTTACAAGGACTTGGATTNATTTATGGACTCGAATACTAATGATTTAATAGATATTAATGAACAGCACTTCGATCAACAAAACATGAATTCAGTACTCAATACAAAGACCAATAATGTGGGCAACAGTAGCTTTTACAAGGACTTGGATTCGCCCGACGAGTTCAGTACACTTCCGCGCCACTCGATCGCGTCGGGCGCCACACCTCTGGCCGCCCGCGAGAGTGTCATTCGGGCGCAGATGACAATGCGTGAGGAAGACTTCACGTACTCCCAGTCGTTCACTATATATATCGGCACTTGGAATGTGAACGGACAGAACGTGTCCGCACCACTCGGCCAGCATTGGCTCGCATGTGATCCCAATCCGCCCGACATGTATGCAATCGGTTTCCAAGAACTGGATTTGTCGCGCGAGACGTTTCTCTTCAATGAGACGCCCAAAGAGGAGATGTGGCTAAAGGCCTGTCGGGAAGCTCTCCACCCGAAGGAGAGCTACGAATTGGTCCAATTGGTACGACTCATAGGAATGATGTTAATTGTATTCGTCAAAAAAGACTTAAGACAATACATCACTAATATCTCATCGGAAATGGTCGGCACCGGACTTATGGGACGAATGGTATGAAAGTGGCATCAATTCTATCATTTATTAATGCAAAATAATAATGGGTTTATCTTTTGAACAAAAGGGAAACAAAGGCGGAGTTGCCGTTCGGTTTGATTTGCACAACTCGTCGGTGTGTTTCGTGAACAGCCATTTGGCCGCTCACGTCGAGGAGTATCAGNGGGACGAATGGTATGAAAGTGGCATCAATTCTATCATTTATTAATGCAAAATAATAATGGGTTTATCTTTTGAACAAAAGGGAAACAAAGGCGGAGTTGCCGTTCGGTTTGATTTGCACAACTCGTCGGTGTGTTTCGTGAACAGCCATTTGGCCGCTCACGTCGAGGAGTATCAGAGACGCAATCAGGACTTTAATGATATTTGTTCTCGACTTGTATTCAATCAATACAAACCTCCCAAATGTATTAATGATCACGAGTTAGTTGTTTGACATTTTAATTTGGTTTTCAAGTTTTAACATTTTATTCATTTTTAATGAAAGCCATGTCTATTGGTTCGGAGATCTAAATTCAATACAAACCTCCCAAATGTATTAATGATCACGAGTTAGTTGTTTGACATTTTAATTTGGTTTTCAAGTTTTAACATTTTATTCATTTTTAATGAAAGCCATGTCTATTGGTTCGGAGATCTAAACTATCGTCTCATGGATTTGAGTACAGAACACGTGAAGAATATGTTGGAAGTGAAAGCGTATCATTCGCTGTTACAGAAGGATCAGCTCAAAGATCAGATGAAGCAAAAGAGTGTGTTTGTGGGCTATAGTGAGGGAGCAATCAATTATTTGCCGACCTATAAGTACGATCCGGGAACTGATAACTGGGACTCTAGTGAGAAGAGCCGACCGCCCGCCTGGTGTGACCGCATTCTCTGGCGAACAAAACAACCCACAGAACAGCTTCAATACAGAAGTCATCCCAAAATGATGATCAGTGATCACAAACCGGTCAGCGCTCTCTTCGAGGCCTCCATTAAAGTGATTGACGACAAAAAATATCGCAAAATATACGAAGAAGTGATGAAAAAGTTGGATAAACTGGAGAACGAATTCTTACCGCAAGTGGCCGTCGATAAGATGGAAGTGGTGTTCAATTTTCCATTAAAGTGATTGACGACAAAAAATATCGCAAAATATACGAAGAAGTGATGAAAAAGTTGGATAAACTGGAGAACGAATTCTTACCGCAAGTGGCCGTCGATAAGATGGAAGTGGTGTTCAATTCGGTGTCGTTTCGTGAGAAACTGGTGAACCGTTTGACGATTGCAAACGTAGGTCAGGTGCCGCTCACCTTCGAGTTCATCAACAAACCCAACGAAAACTCTTATTGCAAGAAATGGTTGCAAATAAAGCCATACACACAGCGAATAATGCCCGGAAGTACTCTCGACGTGGAAATCGAGGTCAACATTGACCGGACGACTGCCCCTCGACTTAATAACGGTTTGGAAGACTTAACAGACATTCTTGTGTTGCATTTAGACGGAGGCAAAGATCTGTTCATAACAGTGACGGGCAGTTATGAGAGGAGTTGCTTCGGTTGCGCTATTGAGACATTGGTTCGACTCAAGTGTCCACTCAATCAGGTCTCCAAAGATGTGCTAAAAATGTTGGAACGAAGACAATATGGCGACGATATGCCGCCCGTTTGGGACATACCTAAAGAGTTGTGGATTCTTGTGGACCAACTGTACAAATACGGAATGTTAACCAATGAATTGTTTCAACACTCGGGCCTTAACACAGAGTTTGTGGTCATTCGTAACGCATTGGACACCGGATTTGTTGACAAAATCAATGTCGGCGTCCATTCCTTAGCCGAAAGTCTGATTTTATTTTTGGAAGCGCTGTCAGAGCCGGTCATACCCTTTGCTTTCTACGACCGATCCATTGAAAGTAGCAATAATTTTCAAAACTCAAAACAAGTGAGATATTTATTGCCTCGTAATTAACATTAATTACAATCTAATGTGTGTTTGTATTGATGTTTAGGTCGTGAATGAAATACCAGAACATCACAGGAATGTCTTCTACTATTTAATCGCATTTTTTAGGGAACTCTTAAGGCATTCAAATAGTAATAAACTGGACGTTAAACTATTGGGTCAGTACAACAAACCCTTAATTTTCAGAAAATATTATTATTAAATTGAATTAATAATTGTTTTCAATTTAAGCGTCAATTTTTGGTTCCGTTTTATTGAGATCTCCGGAGAGCTCAGCCTTTAACGAGAGGAATAGCATTATTCATCCAAACTTTACAAAAAGCACTGATAATAACAGTTCATTCAGATCCCATCTGCCGTCACATCACCGCCAAAGGGATGCCTTTGTTTTCCACTTTTTAGTCAATGATTTCGATATTTAATTCTCTTTTTAGTGTTTTTTGTTGTTTTATTTGATTTCACATACATTTTAATACTAAACGAATTGTTATTTAAATTAAATAATTGTTTTATATATTAAACGAATCAAAAGTTTATTTATTTTAAAAATTATTGGTTTTTAATTTATTGATTAGAAATATAATTGTTTTAAATTTATAAAATTTAATAAATGCAAAATACAGTAAATATTATATAAATTTATAAAAATGTTATACAGTATTGTGTTTTATAATATATTGTGTATCAATCGTTGCATTAATATAAGCGCTGAATATAAAAACTTATTATAATTATTATTAATGAGGCGGTCAATAAATTCCAACCGTGCGTTTTCTTTATATCCAGAGCATTGCGTTAACCTATTTATGCAAGTTTACTCAAAGAAATTACATTATTTTATTAAATTGTTTCCAAAATTTGAAAGTCACTTTCGGGGATTTAGCCTGTTTTAAAATACCACCAACGATCACGTGAAGTGACAGCCAAGGTATGGCCCGTTAAGAAATAGGTCAATTTTTTATTAAATACAAAACTGGGCAAAACTGTATATTAACATGCGTTATATATGCAAGTATAATACTCAAATAAAATACATTATTCTATTAAATTGCTTCCAAAATCTTTAAAGTCACTTTCGGGAATTTAGCCTGTTTTAAAATACAACCAACGATCACGTGAAGTGACAGCCAAGGTATGGCCCGTTAAGAAATAGGTCAATTTTTTATAAAATACAAAACTGGGCAAAACTGTATATTAATATGCGTTATTTATACAAGTACAATCATTAAAGAAAGTACATTAGCTTATGAAATTACGTAATATATCCCAAATATCACTAAGGGCTATATCATTCAGTTTTGTTTTCCACTCAGGTTCACGTGAAGTGACCTGACAGGTCTGTTCCGTTAAATAAAGGTCAATTTTTTAGTAAATACAAAACTGGGCAAAACTGTATATTAAAATGCGTTATTTATGAAAGTATAATACTGAAATAAAATAGATTACTTAATTAAATTGCTTCCAAATTCTTAAAGTCACTTTCGGGGATTTAGCCTGTTTTAAAATACCACCAACGATCACGTGAAGTGACAGCCAAAGTATGGCCCGTTAAGAAATAGGTCAATTTTTTATTAAATACAAAACTGGGCAAAACTGTATATTAAAATGCGTTATTTATGAAAGTATAATACTGAAATAAAATAGATTATTTAATTAAATTGCTTTCAAATTCCGTTAAGAAATAGGTCAATTTTTTATTAAATACAAAACTGGGCAAAACTGTATATTAAAATGCGTTATTTATGAAAGTATGAAATACTGAAATAAAATAGATTATTTAATTAAATTGCTTTCAAATTCTTAGTCACTTTCGGGGATTTAGCCTGTTTTAAAATACCACCAACGATCACGTGAAGTGACAGCCAAGGTATGGCCCGTTAAGAAATAGGTCAATTTTTTATTAAATACAAAACTGGGCAAAACTGTATATTAACATGCGTTATTTATGCAAGTACAATCATCAAAGAAAGTACGATAGCTTATGAAATTACGTAATATATCCCAAATATCACTAAGGGCTATATCATTCAGTTTTGTTTTCCACTCAGGTTCACGTGAAGTGACTTGACAGGTCTGTTCCGTTAAGAAATAGGTCAATTTTTTATTAAATACAAAACTGGGCAAAACTGTATATTAATAAAGTACATTAGCTTATGAAATTACGTAATATATCCCAAATATCACTAAGGGCTATATCATTCAGTTTTGTTTTCCACTCAGGTTCACGTGAAGTGACCTGACAGGTCTGTTCCGTTAAATAAAGGTTAATTTTTTAGTAAATACAAAACTGGGCAAAACTGTATATTAAAATGCGTTATTTATGAAAGTATAATAATGAAATAAAATAGATTATTTAATTAAATTGCTTCCAAATTCTTAGTCACTTTCGGGGATTTAGCCTGTTTTAAAATACCACCAACGATCGCGTGAAGTGACAGCCAAGGTATGGCCCGTTAAGAAATAGGTCAATTTTTTATTAAATACAAAACTGGGCAAAACTGAATATTAACATGCGTTATTTATGCAAGTATAATACTCAAATAAAATACTACTAAGGGCTATATCATTCAGTTTTGTTTTCCACTCAGGTTCACGTGAAGTGACTTGACAGGTCTGTTCCGTTAAGAAATAGGTCAATTTTTTATTAAATACAAAACTGGGCAAAACTGTATATTAACATGCGTTATATATGCAAGTATAATACTCAAATAAAATACATTATTCTATTAAATTGCTTCCAAAATCTTTAAAGTCACTTTCGGGGATTTAGCCTGTTTTAAAATACCACCAACGATCACGTGAAGTGACAGCCAAGGTATGGCCCGTTAAGAAATAGGTCAATTTTTTATTAAATACAAAACTGGGCAAAACTGAATATTAACATGCGTTATATATGCAAGTATAATACTCAAATAAAATACATTATTCTATTAAATTGCTTCCAAAATCTTTAAAGTCACTTTCGGGGATTTAGCCTGTTTTAAAATACCACCAACGATCACGTGAAGTGACAGCCAAGGTATGGCCCGTTAAGAAATAGGTCAATTTTTTATTAAATACAAAACTGGGCAAAACTGAATATACTAAGGGCTATATCATTCAGTTTTGTTTTCCACTCAGGTTCACGTGAAGTGACTTGACAGGTCTGTTCCGTTAAGAAATAGGTCAATTTTTTATTAAATACAAAACTGGGCAAAACTGTATATTAAAATGCGTTATTTATGAAAGTATGAAATACTGAAATAAAATAGATTATTTAATTAAATTGCTTTCAAAT